CTAAACAAAAAAGAAAAGTTTTATTTTTAAAATTTAAAATATTACTATATTTAAATACAAGTCAGTGTTTATCTAAATATATTTTTACTAAAAAAAATGACATGAGGTTGAGGTTTACGGCTTCATATTTTTGTTAGAAAATATTGACTTAAGGGGTGTTACTAAAATATTTATAACTTTTGAAATATAAGAAATAATTTTGTTTTGTAGAAGGAATAAAAACAACAATAAAATGTTTTACCATGTGACATTCAATGTAGTAATAAAATAACTTCTTTTAAATTAGAAAAAAACGTGACAAATGATGAACTTGGTTGAACTTTAGTAGTTTTTTGTTACTTTTTATAAAAAAAAAAAAATCAAAATATATATTTCGAATCTTTATATGTATACTAGCAGTAAGCAACCCGTAATACGCGTTGTTAGTAAATAAAATTAAAAAAAAAAACCCGCGTATAGAAAAGCCTAGAAACTACTTTAAAATAGAAAAGCCTAGAAAATGACGTAACTCGAATAATAATAATAATAATAATAGCAATAATAGTAATAATAGCAATAATAATAATAATAATAATAACAATATTGAATTAGCGTATTCATATTATCAGATGTATAAATATTGTTAAACTAATTTAAAAACAAAAAAAATATTACTTAAATTTTATGTAAAATTAAGCAGAGATAATTAAGTTATAAAACAAAAAAATATAGAGAAAAGTGGGCCAAGGGGTAGACAAAACCTCAAAAATGAAAATTTGTTATTTTAGAAACAATATAATGAAACATAGTCATAATACTCCATTGTTTTATTAAAAAGCTTATTTGAGTTTAATAGTATCATTCTAAACCACAAAAATCATTTGCGGTTGCTTGTTTAACAAATTACGTTGTCTTTACAAAATTGCATAATATTTTTTAAATTTTATGCTTACTTTTAAAAAACAATAACTTTTAAAAAAATACGTTCAGTTCGTACAAATACATTTAGTTTTTGTATTTTAACTATTTAATAATATATCTTTACGAAAATAATATAAAGGAAAGATCAACATTTATAACACATTTATAATTTGGTTTTATAATAACGAGATCAGTTTATAACATTTAATAGTTTTATTTTGCACAAAAAGTTTAAGATAAGTTAGGGAACCTACAAGAACCTATATCGAGTACTTCAGCTAGTAAATACAACATGTCTTTAACCTCTTAGAACTATATACATTGCCCCTAATTTTTTTTTTTGAATTTATTTGACATTTTAAAAGTACAAGTCGTATTATTTGCTTGAAATCGAAATACTTATTTAAAACGTCATGTTTTTTATTCACCCAAACAAAAATACATGTTATTTTTTTACCAATACAATTCAATGCACATTGTACTGTTTAAGCAATACTTTTTTTGTTTTTTATTTTAGTTATGACATGAAAATTTGTGAGATTCACACATTTATTAGACAAAACAAACTAGTTCTTAATAATAAATCATTTTTTTCATCAGGATTAGTTTTCCTAGCTTCAGTAGATACTAAATTAAAAGATTGTGAGCGTAAAAACTTCATAAAATTATATCGTAAAAAGTGTATTGCTGCAAACAATGATATTATTCATTTGAGAAAAATAATGAAAATTGGCTCGCTCAAGATTTTCAGTTTACGTACATTACGCTAAATCCTACAGTTAATTAAGTTGAAAGACCCTTTGCTTTTTTGAAAATCATGCAACAGAACAAAAAAAAAAGAAACAATCTTATTAAAAGTATATCTGAAGTTGAATTACTTCATGCAACAAAATTAAAAATTAGGAACAAGTATATCATTTAAGTACAAGACTGCTGAAAAAATTGCAGAAATTTCAGATGACAAACTCATTGAAACTCCTAAGAAGTATTCACCAGATGAAGGTCTAGCAATGATTGTTAATAGTGGCGTATCAACACACCAGCTTTTGTGAAATGGCGCTGAAGAAAAAGAAAAATATCAACATACCACATTCTTTATATAATGATATACAATTTTCAAAAGCTGAATGCTACTCCGACAATATTTATGTAGTTGAGTATAGATTGGGATGTACTGGAATTCCGGCGGGATTTTTTTTTTTTAAGATCAACTCGCTTCTGGCTGTAGTTAAATTTATTTTTTAATTTTTTTTTATGACATTAGATACAGGCAGTGTAAATAAATCAAAATATCATTATTCTATTGAGCGATAAAGAACTATAAGTAAACCGAGATAAAAAGTACAAATGGTACTTTTGCAAATATATTCGCAGTACTACTATTTCTGAAAATAAACTTACACTTGTATTTTTAACTAGGTTTACCTATAGTTCTTCATTGCTCTGTAGGATAATGATTTTTTAACTTATTTACACTCTATGTGTCACATTTCATAAAAAAAAAAAGTAAAGAAAAAAAGTTTAACTACAGCCAGAAGCGATTTGATCTGAAAGAAAAAAATCCGGCCGTAATTCCGGTACATCCCTAGTATAGAGTAAACATACCACTAAAAGACCTTCTATGCACACTATTGAAAGACTGTGTGACGTACAAGCTCCTGTGCTATTTACAATGTTAAAAGAACTAAATAAATTGACGTTTTTGTATAAGGCTGAGTTTAATGGTGCTACAGGGCAAAGTGTTTACTTACCGGTTAGCCATAATGAAAACATTGAAAGAAATCTAAAGAATGAAGAGTGTTTATTTATTACTTGCGCGGTAGCATTAAAACTCAGTGGACTTTATAATAATAAAAACGCAGCAGTGTGGAGAAACAAAAAGTCATATTCGACTGCATATTGTCGACTAGTTAGATTTTCGTTTCAAAAGCAAACCAAGAATAATGCGGAAGAAAAAAAAACAACTAATAATTCCAAAATTGAGAAATGTGATACTATTAACATTATTTTTGCAGGAAAAAAAATAGCTGTAAAATGTTTTATTGAGCTGACCATGATAGATGGTAAAATTTAATCAATTTTATCAACTATGACAAACTCGACACAGTGTTGTCCAGCTCGTGGTCTGTCTCCCAAAAATATGAACAATTTGGAGAAAGTGTTGAGTTTAACTATCAATAATTTAGAGTTTAAATATGCTTTATCCAGCCTACACGCTTGAATTAACTTTTAGTTATGACTGCACATTAAATATAAAAAGGAAACTAAAAAACGGCTGGATAGAACCGTTACTGATAAAATAGCGGTACAGCAAGTTAAGTGCCGAATTCAGATTGATTTTGTGAACCAAATGAGACTGGTTGTGGATTTTCCCAAAATTGAAGGATCAAGTAAGTTAAATTTTAAATTATACAAAATATATATTATTTATACATATAATATTTCAAAATATAAGACATAATTTTCTAAATTTTCAGGTACAAGTATTGATGGAAATACTGCTTGCAGAGCTTTTGCTATCTAAAAATCAACTGCTGAAATATTGAAAGTTGATGAAACTCTTATATATCATTTTTATATTATTTTAGTCACTTTGTCATTCGGATATAAAATAAATAATATAAATTTTAAAGTTTTTGCACAACCGCTTTAAAACTATATATATCAAATTATTCATGGGGCTATAAGTCACAATCTGTCAACAAAATTTTAGTTTATGGTCATGCGATTATTGAAAAACAATTTCTACCAATCGAAATAATGTCAGAAGATTATTATCAATAAAATAGTTATATTTATTTATTTTAAATAGTATAATAAACTGCTTCATTCATTAAAATGTCAATTCCTCGGTTGTCGGTAAAATACGATCTGCGAACCGGGAAAATGCGAACTTTTTTTGCAAACCAAAACATTATATTTTAAAGACCATTATTTTTATGATAATATTAATAATAAAAAAAACTCTTCAGTTCTTAATTATCTATTTTCAAGCTTTATTAAAAATAAAGTTTTTATTTTTTAACTGTAAAACATGCGCGGAGTGTTGCTACATCGACTATCTTATAGCACGGTGACATTTCGGTTATTCAAAACTGAAACTATTAGAAATATTTAAAAATATATATATTTTTTCATATTGTATTTGTCTAGCACGGTGATTTAATACTTATCAAAGCTTGGGATTTTATTATTTTTTTATAAACTGAGTAGTTGTATCGGGCGCACATGCGTCCGATACAACTAATCAGTTTTCAAATTTTAAGTTTACCGTGTTCAACTTGTTAAATAGCTTTCAAGCTTGTTTTCTGTTTTAAAAGATAACATTGAAATGTTTGCTAATATTCAGACTTCTAAAATGGAATTTTATATAAGTTAGTTTATGCATAAAATCAAAGTATGATTAAACATCCACTTTAAGTATTAAACATTGAACTGGAATATTGCCTAAAATAACACTTTATAAAGATGCCAATTAATTGGACGAAGTAAAATTTTTATGATACTTAGGTTAGTTTTTAATAAAAATACTGTTTACCATTTCTCAAAAAATATAAGCTTCTATTACCAATCATTTTTTTATGAAATATATTTTTATTTTTTAGTCAAGAGGTTTATATAAAAATACTTTTTTGGATGATGGCTAAAAAACATAAGCAAAATTATTGAGAGTCTGCAGAATTTGTCGAAATTTTATCGGAAAAGACTCTATAAAAACCAGTAGCAATTGTGAAAGAGTTTTGAATATTTTTAAAATAAATATTGCTGGAGATTGTTTAGATGTTCACCCAACGCAAATGTTTTTAAAATGCAATGCAACAATGGTGAATATAGAAAACCGAAGTAGTAAACTTTTGAAGTCTATACCAAAAACATGGTTAAAGTGTCAAACAAATGTTTGTAATTGTGTATTTGGTAAAGCTGGTCAAAAACCAAAGCCAAATGTCGGAAGGTCAGGAATTTTTAAAAGGTGGACACAAATTACCCTTAATATGTTTCTCAAATCTTTGTCTTTACCATTGAAACAGAATCAATTATCTGAATTAAATCTTCAACTAAATCCACATTTGATATTATGCATTTGTAAAATTTGTGAAAAA